AGTTACTCAAATCGTAACACAATCCTGTCAAGTTAACAACATACCTCTAGCATAATTAACTTATCAATCCTCTTCAATAGGATGATAAATCCATAAAGTTGCTCAAATCACAACACAATCCTGTCAAGTTAACACCATACCTCTGACACAATCAACTTATCAATCATCTTCAATAAGATAATAAGTCCACAAAGTTGCTCAAATCGTAACATAATTCTGTCAAGTTAACATCATACCTTTGGCACAATCAACTTATCAATCCTCCTTAATAGGATGATAAGTCCACAAAGTTGCTCAAATCGTAATAAACTCCTGTCAAGTTAATATCATATTTCCGATAAAATCAACTTATCAATCATCTTCAATGGGATGATAAGTCTATAAAGTTGCTTAAAACGCAACAGAACTCCGTCAAGTTAACAACACACCTCTGACAAAATCAACTTATCGACTCTCTTCAATAGAGCGATAGGTACTCAAAATCTTTTTTCAAATCACAAGTACGTAATTTCGTCAAGTTAATATCACACCTCTGACAAAATTAACTTATCGACTCTCTTGAATAGAGTGATAGGTCCTTAAAATTTTGTTCAAATCATAAGTATACAATTTCATCAAGTTAATATCATACCTCTAACAAAATTAACTTATAGACTCAATTCAATAAAGCGATAAGTCCTCAAAATCTTGTTCAAATCACAAGTGCACAATTTCGTCAAGTTAACATCACACCTCTGACAAGATCAATTTATTAAATTTTTTTAATAGAATGATAAGCCCCCAAATTATTGTTATGTTAACATCACAACTCTAACAGTTAAACCCCCATGAACTCTGTCTTTTTAACAGAATGACAAGTGTTCATTGTCAAAACACGAGGGTCATTCCCGCGTTACAAATTCAAAACGCGAGGGTCAGGACTGTGTTTCAAGATCAAAACGTGAGGGTTAGCCCTGTTTTTCAAGATCAAAACGCGAAGATCAGACTTGCATTCTAATTTTAAAACGTGAGGGTCAAACCCGTGTTTCAATTTCAAAGCGTGAGGGTCATACCCACGTCTTAAAATCAAAATGCGAGGGTCAGTCCCATGTTTCCATTACCAAACGTAGAGGTCATCCCCGTGTCTCAAAATTAAAATGTGAGGGTCAGAACTGCGTTTCAATTTCAAAATGTGAAGGCCAACCCCACATTTTGCTAATCAAAACGCAGAAGTCCACCTCCGCGTTTTAGAAGCCAAACGTGAAGCTCACCTCTGCATTTCAAAAGCAGAAGCATGGTGCTCACCCTTGCATGGGTCTTGTGTGACAAATCCCTCCAGCCAAGATGCCTTCGAAGCGGATGTAGGGAACAACTCCTTTACGACAAGGAATCAACTGCTTCAAGATCAAAATTGAGATCCAAAGTATTTTGAAAATTCATTCCAGTCAACCATGAACTTTTAAAAACTTTGGAGGGGGATCTGTATGATGTCTAAAAATTACTACAGATAGTCGATCCCCATCAAGCATTGATTTGACGACCTTCACAATCACCAGCAAGAGTTACAACTGACGACTCTCACCGTTCAAAGAGCCAATACGAAGATTACAAGATAACAATCTTCACAACACTCTACCAGAAAAGAGTGCAAGTTGATGGTCTCTTCAAAGCAAAACGCGGAGCTCGTGGCCGCTTTCCAGACTCAAAATGCAGAGCCGTTGCTGTGCTCCAGATTCAAGATGTAAAGCTCACATCTGCGTTCCAAGAATAAAACGAGGAGCTCACCATCGCGTTTTTAACTCCAAATGCAGAGCTCACCTCTGCATCCCAAGTTCAAGACGCGGAGTTCATTCCTAGAACGTGAATTTCACGTTTGACTCGTTCAAACACGATCTAAACGGTTCCAAAACCATTTTCCATGATTTGAGGGGATCAAATTCTCACTTAGGAGCGATTATAGGGGTTAGTTACACCCCTTAAACCCCTATAAATAGCGGGTTTCACAGCTGGAAAAACGGTCGACAACGTGGAGGAACCTTTTGGAGTGTTTTGTGAAGGCTGTTGTTGAAGCTTTGGAGCTTTTCGGCCTTGGCTTTGGAACCATTCTCGGTTGAAGAACTGAAGATCATTTTGTTCTTTGATTTCAATTAAAAAGGATTAATTTTCTTTCTTAAATCAACTCTTTTACAGAGTTTTAAACTCGTTCAGAGTTCTTAAACTCATTAGAGTTCAAAACTTGCATCGCAAGTTCTTCCCGTCAAGAGGAATAGACCAAGTTCCACGAAGCGAGGTGTTCGGATCATCAACGGGATACAAAATTCAAACTCCTATTGCCACCGAGAAGAGCCCAGTTCTAAACAAAGGGAATAATCTCCGTCGATTCCTTCTCTCTTTTGTAAATCGAGAAACCGATAAGAGAAATTGAAATTTCTTTTTCTAAGTCAGTTAGAGAGAGATTACAGTGAGAGATTATATTCATTCTTTTCCTAAGTCAGTTTGGGAGATTAATACGAATTTTATTCTCATTTCTTCTTTAATTTTCTCGCAAACAGTAATATACAAAACTTATTTGAGAATTTAGTAAAGAGACATAAGGAGAACTTATTTATCCCCATTTTGGGAAAATGAAAGGAAGGTAAAAGAATATAAATAAATTTATATAAATAACTCTACATGTTATTTCACCATTTTGGATCTCATCTTGATATAAGGATAAAGACTCCTAAAAATTTTAAATTTGCAGAAAACATCCTGAAAATTTTGAAATAGCAAAAACGCCTCATACTTCAAACTTTATAAAAAAACTGTTAAAAATTCAAATCTATAAACAATATACTAGCATTATAGTTACACACAACCCTCTAAAAAACTGGGCTTTGTAGAAAGCACCCAATAGGTTCAAAACTTGTAATAAACACCCTAAAAAATTAAAAGTTTATAAAAAACACCTAAAATTTTCAAAGAGACAAACAATAAATTGAAATTTTATAATAGATTTGAAATTTGAAAGAACACACTAAAAGTTCAGAAATATTCAAAAAAACCTAAAATCAAAATTTACAAAAATGCTTGTCGTGAGCTTTAATTGTGAGCTTTAATCTTTTAGGGTGTTCTTTCACACTTTTTAGAACTTCCAGGATCTTTTCTGTAAATTTTAAGACTTTCAGCGGGATGTTTGTAACCCTATGTCAGTGTGCTTTTTTTAATAGGTTTGAAAATTTTGGATGTTTTTTGTATATTTTTAAATTTTTTGAGGGTGTTTTCTGTAATTTTTGAAACTTTTACAGTGTTTTCTATAAATTTTAAATTGTGTATGGGAATTTTCATAATTTGTCATATTTTTGGAAGGTTGTTTGTAAGTTTAATATTTTTGAGGTAGGCGGCAGAGATCCTTTATGTTAAATTTTAATTCTTATGATCTATAATGTCAAACACAAAAGAAAATTTCATTTAACTCTTCATCTTAAAGTTACACATAATTGCTAATGCTGTGTTCGAATTGAGAGTAGAGAAGAGAAGCCGAAGAGAAATTTGAGCCTTAACTTTTATTTAATAAGAGTTTTATTGAGAGGTAAGATGAAGAGAAGACGAGGAGAAGGTGGAGAAAATTTTAGCTAAAACCTTACACCTTAAATCAGGGGTAAATAAGGAAAAGAAAAAATTGATTAGTTGGCTTTTCTTTTTCTACGAGAGGTGCTACAGTCACAACTTAAATCATATCCTCAACGGCACTCCTCTTTCGCTACACTACACTAAGACTCAAATGATTTTTTTTTTTAAATTCTCACTTGAACCTCAATGCATTGTAACTGAGACAAGCGTGGCTGGAGGTGTGGTTTAAGGGCGTGGCTCTAGCCTTTTCCTTTTCTACCATTTTCTACCGACTATTATGGCATGTTTGGATTTGTAGGGGTGAAGGGAAGTTAAGGGAAACTGAGTGAAGGGAAGGGAAAGGAAGGGAAGAGAGTTCACTTCCCTTTGGTTACACCCCAATTTGGGGGGTAACAATTTTTACACTTATTAGGGGGTGAACCAAGGGGAACTAGGGTGAATTAACTTCACCTCGTTTGGATTGAGGGGAATGAGGGTGAAGGGAAGTTAGGGGAACCATTCACCTCCATTCACCTTGTTTGGGAACACTTAGGAGGTGAAGTTAATTCACCCTAGTTCCCCTTGGTTCACCCCCTAAGAGCATCTCCAACAGCTTCCCCAAAATTTTCTCCAAAATGGAGAAACAAAAGTCATATTCTCCAAATTATTTTTGCTCCAACTCCAACAGCTTCCCCATTTTGAAAAATCGCATTTATTACAATAATAAAGCTCTCCCCAAAAATTTGGATAATGCTGCAGATTTGGGGAAGGCTCCCTATTTTTTCTCCTCCTTCCCTATTTTGGGGAATGGGATGGGGAATCTGTTGGACCAAAAAAAAGCTCTATATTCTTCAAATTTGAGTATTTCAAGAAGATGGGGAAGCTGTTGGAGATGCTCTAATAGTGTAAAAATTATTACCCCAAATTGGGGTGTAACCAAGGGGAAGTGAACTCCCTTCCCTTCCCTTCCCTTCCCTTCACTCAGTTTCCCTTAACTTCCCTTCACCCCTACAAATCCAAACATGCCCTAAGTGTTCCCAAATAAGATGAATGGAGGTGAATGGTTCCCCTAACTTCCTTTCATCCTCATTCCCCTCAATCCAAACAAGCCCTTAGGGCCTGTTTGGATTTGTAGGGGGTGAAGGGAAGTTAAGGGAAACTGAGTGAAGGGAAGAGAAGGGAAGGGAAGAGAATTCCCTTCCCCTTGGTTTACACCCCAATTTGGGGTAACAATTTTTATACTATTAGGGGTGAACCAAGGGGAACTAGGGTGAATTAACTTCACCTCCTAAGTGTTCCCAAACAAGATGAATGGAAGTGAATGGTTCCCCTAACTTCCCTTCACCCTCATTCCCATGAATGGAAGTGAATGGTTCCCCTAACTTCCCTTCACCCTCATTCCCCTCAATCCAAACAAGCCCTTAATCTCATACTAAACGAGACCGAGGTGCATGACGAAATCCCAATAGTAAAACCTCTTCTGTGTGAACCCGAGAGCGCCACAAAAAAACCAATACGAGGGAGAGGGAGAGGGAGAGGGAGAGAATGGCGATAGGCGTGGCCGCCCCAAAAACGGTGATGATCACCGGAGTCAGCCGAGGACTTGGCCGAGATCTGGCCCTAGAGCTCGCGAAGCGTGGGCACACGATAATAGGCTGTGCTCGAGCACAAGATAAGCTCCAGTCCCTTCAGGATGAGATCTCCTCCTCCTCTTCTTCTAACCACCTTTTTCAAGCTCTCGATGTTGTAAGTTTTTAATTTATTTTGAAGGTGGGATTTTTATGGGTTTTAGAGCTGTTGAAATGATGGGCTACCTCAGTTTAGGAAGAAAAAAATTTAGATTGACTGCAGGGTTGCGTCAATAGTTAACTCGTAGGCTCGAAATTTTGATTCAAATATGTAATTGAAATTTACAGGATTTTCTCTCCAGAAACCCTAGAGAAAATGCGCGGTGAAGTTGAACAAAAACTTTACTAGACGCCCTTACCTTCATATGTTTCCTCTCCATTCAGTTGTTTGAAATAACACCCCGCTTCAAACAGATATGGAGACTTGGGTGTGTTTTTACAATTAAGTTGTTTGAAATAACACCCCATTTCATATTTTTTTTAAAAAAGGATGTTATGTGAGGCAACTTAATAGGTTCCAAGGAAAATGATGAAGATTTGGAGGTCTAATATAAAAATAGGATAGAATTTAGAGTCTAAATTTGAGGGGGGAAACCCATATAGCTAAGACTCAAAGGGCTTCAGATCCGTCTGTGAACCTAAAGGTGACCAAGATAACAAAAAAGAAAAGAAAAGAAAAGTCAGCTATGAGCTAACAAAACAATATATTTTCAGTAGGGTGATGACTGATAGGATGGATATCCTTATGTCCATATGCATTCCATGTGCCGTACTTGCGCAATCATAGTAGTGCTGGTCAAGGTGATTTTTAGGGAGGTGAATGATAGGTGAAGCTATCCCATGGTCCCCTAACTATGCGCCAAGATAAAAATAATAAACTTGGATCAGTGCGTTAATCCCCATACCTCTTAACAGAATTGCATTGTATTAATCTAGCGATAGTAAACCCTGATGCATCATCAGTCGAAGGGGGCATGAAGTAGTACATACTTTGTTGAAAGTAGGGCTTGTACAACTATTTGCTTGTCTCTATCAAGGATTAATGTTGGGGTTTTATCCTTTCAATTACATGTATTTGGGGATGAAAGTGAGTCAGTTTACAATGAAGAGCATGGTGCTGACTTTTACTTGTTATATAGCATTTTATGTAAGTGGAGCTGTTAGGTTGTTATAAATACAAGACTTCATTATCGTGGTTTGGTTTTCTAGAAAATAGTTATCGTGCCATTTAGTTAGAAATTCTTTTCCATCAAATCGCTCAACTGCCTAGTTATAGAGTGTCGGAGCTTTATGATGAGTTTGTATTGCAATTGCAGAGTGGCTGCAACTTTGGCATCCTTTTTACTCATTTCAAGGGTGTGGGTGAGTGGGTGGGTGGGGATGTGTGTGTGTGTGTGTCAAAATTAATGATAATACATGTATAACTGTGTATCTCATCATGCAGAAGTCAGACGTTGGTGTTCAAGACTTGGCAAAATTAGTTGTGGAGAGGAAACAAGTTCCTGATATCATAGGTTCGTAAATTTTGATAGAAGCTGCTTTCTTGCTTTGTAATATATTATAATTTGTGTTCTTGCGTTAACTGGTTGCTTAGTTTATAATATTTTCTCCAATCTATAATTCTTTGTGTTCATCTTTAACATGAAGCAAAAAAAATCTAATTAGTTCTGATATGCCATTGTTGTGAAACAATGAGTTTAGCATCAATTTGTTATGAGTTTTCTTGATTGCTGGATCCTATTTGGAGTTTCTTGCTGACATCCGTTTTCTTGTAGTTTAAGCAAATATTTTATGGTAGATGACTAGATGGTAATCTAAAGGGTTTAAATTCATACTGGGCTAGGCTTATGGGTCCTGTAAACAACTTTACAACATAAGATCTAGGGTCATTCCATTTGCAATTAATCTTATGTCGTATCCAATTAAAGGAGGGCAGTTGGATTCATCTCATCTTATATGGCTCTTGTCTAGGGATATCCAACTGGTCTAAATTGAATGGAAAAGGTGGAGAACATTTTTATTTTTTATTTTTTTGTTTGTTTACATGCACTACTAAAAGGAATTCCGTATCTGACAAGTTATACTGTTTTCTTTGTTAAAATCACTTGATTGTTGTGATATAAAAATGCCACTGGAACTGATCGAAATGCATGGCAGCCTAGAATTACACCTTCTGGATTCTGATGGAGTCACCACCCTATGTTTGTCATATCGAGAATAACATGGTACATTATGAATCTTTTGATATGCTTTCTGCCTTTTTTTTTTTTTGAGAAAAAGGATGGATTATCACAAAGATAATCCAGCCAACTAAATTAACAAAAAAAGGTTGTTACAAAAGAAACATACACACCCCCAACCAAGAGTGTGTATTAAAGTTCATGATCAAGATTACAAAGCAAAAGTAAAACCCAGCACAAGTCTGTATATAGCTATAGGTCTCTCCCACAAAAAGAAGACCATGATCAAAAACCAAAAACTAAAAGTTTCACAACTAACCAAAGTTTTAAAACACAGCCACCAGATAAGCTCAAAACAACACCAGAATTGAATGTGCACCATTCTAGATGGATCACCTCATCTCCCATAGCTCTGATCTCTTAAATCACTGAAGATTGAGATTAATCCAGTTGAATCACGATGTTGTTCTCCTCCCCTGTAGCTCTAGCTGGCTGTAAATCTACCAGTCTCTCATTCTTCTTCCTTCTTCGTGCTAACAATCTGGCTGCTCTATCTGAGATTGTAGACCTAGCTAAAATGTAGAAAAAGTCATAATCTTATTCAAAATCTCCAACGCTCTCTTCTTCTTGTTAGAGAAGAGTCTATCATTACGTTTCTGCCATATGCACCAAATAAGAGCACAAAAGATAACGTCTCTTTCCATCTTGCATTCCTTATTTCCCCAAGCAGTCCAATTAATCCAAACTTCTTTTAAAGATTTCATTTTGAAGTATTTCCCAATTTTTAATTTGAACTGAATAGATCTCCACAGTGAGAATACAAACTCACATTCAATAAACAAATGAGAATGACTCTCTTCAACTTTAGAACACAAAACACAGTTCAGCTCTAACTGAATTCCTTTTTTAGTCAAAATATCTTTTGTATTTAAACTCTGTCTTAAAGCTAGCCAAACCATAAGTTTCACTTTTAAAGGAATGGAAAGCTTCCAGATATCTGCACAATCAGAACGTAAACCTCCATCAATAAGAAATTGATAGAAAGATTTAACAGAAAAAATACCATTTGTTTCCCACAATCAGATTCTGCTGTCTTCTTTTTGATCAAAAATTATGTCCTTGATGAGATTCAGTAAATCTCAGATTCTGTTGTCTCTCTGAGATTGTAGAACCTAGCCAAAATGTAGAAAAAGTCATAATCTTATTCAAAATCTCCAACGCTCTCTTCTTCTTGTTAGAGAAGAGTCTATCATTACGTTCCTGCCATATGCACCAAATAAGAGCACAAAAGATAACGTCTCTTTCCATCTTGCATTCCTTATTTCCCCCAGCAGTCCAATTAATCCAAACTTCTTTTAAAGATTTCATTTTGAAGTCTTTCCCAATTTTTAATTTGAACTGAATAGATCTCCACAGTGAGAATACAAACTCACATTCAATAAACAAATGAGAATGACTCTCTTCAACTTTAGAACACAAAACACAATTCAGCTCTAACTGAATTCCTTTTTTAGTCAAAATATCTTTTGTATTTAAACTCTGTCTTAAAGCTAGCCAAACCATAAGTTTCACTTTTAAAGGAATGGAAAGCTTCCAGATATCTGCACAATCAGAACGTAAACCTCCATCAATAAGAAATTGATAGAAAGATTTAACAGAAAAAATACCATTTGTTTCACACAACCAGATTCTGCTGTCTTCTTTTTGATCAAAAATTATGTCCTTGATGAGATTCAGTAAATCTCATATTCTACTGTCTATCTGAGATTGTAGAACCTAGCCAAAATGTAGAAAAAGTCATAATCTTATTCAAAATCTCCAACGCTCTCTTCTTCTTGTTAGAGAAGAGTCTATCATTACGTTCCTGCCATATGCACCAAATAAGAGCACAAAAGATAACGTCTCTTTCCATCTTGCATTCCTTATTTCCCCCAGCAGTCCAATTAATCCAAACTTCTTTTAAAGATTTCATTTTGAAGTCTTTCCCAATTTTTAATTTGAACTGAATAGATCTTCACAGTGAGAATACAAACTCACATTCAATAAACAAATGAGAATGACTCTCTTCAACTTTAGAACACAAAACACAGTTCAGCTCTAACTGAATTCCTTTTTTAGTCAAAATATCTTTTGTATTTAAACTCTGTCTTAAAGCTAGCCAAACCATAAGTTTCACTTTTAAAGGAATGGAAAGCTTCCAGATATCTGCACAATCAGAACGTAAACCTCCATCAATAAGAAATTGATAGAAAGATTTAACAGAAAAAATACCATTTGTTTCCCACAACCAGATTCTGCTATCTTCTTTTTGATCAATAATTATGTCCTTGATGAGATTCAATAAATCCAAAAACTGAAAATACCATTTGTTTCCCACAACCAGATTCTGCTGTCTTCTTTTTGCACAATCAGATTCTGCTTTCTGCCTATATTTTACTTCTTTTATTACTTATGCTACCTTGTAATATCTTTTTCCAAGCTCATAATCACTAATTATTTCTAATGGATATAGACCTTTCATTGACAAGGATCAGGGATGCTTTACTCATCATTTTCTTAAGTCTATTGTGTTCCTGCTTATTTAATAATTGATGAATAATTTTTAATCATAAGATTCTTATCTACATTATGTTTCTCTGTGGTCCTAATATTCTTTTCTGAGTCTTCATATGATGACAAAGGAACAGAATAGTTGGACTAAGTGCAACAGAAGTTATACACAATACTTTTCTCTTAAAGGCCAAGGAGCAGCACATTGATATGCAAAATGTTTTTGTATAATATCATGCATTCATGTTGATACATTGTGATACACATGATCGTAGTGTACTACCCCTACTTTATCCGTTTATTTCTTCAATTCTGCAAAATCAGTCAGAATAACTGAAATAAGAATTTGTGCAGTGAATAATGCGGGTACTATCAACAAGAATAATAAGGTATGGGAAGTTTCAGCTGAAGAATTTGATACTGTCATTGATACCAACATTAAAGGTACAGCAAATGTGCTCCGTCACTTCCTGCCACTCATGATTGGAAGAAAGCAAGGGATTATTGTGAACATGTCTTCTGGCTGGGGAAGATCAGCAGCTGCTCAGGTAATAAATTTTCTCTCGATTATGGTGTGCATATCATTCTATTTTCTGAATTTCTTGCTATGCCAAAAAATTGAAGTTGTTAATGAGGATATTTAATTGCGTGCTAGGTGGCGCCCTATTGTGCTTCAAAATGGGCAATTGAGGGTCTTACTCGTTCAGTGGCTAAGGAATTGCCTCCTGGATTGGCAATTGTTGCATTGAGTCCTGGTGTGGTGAACACGGATATGCTTGCCTCGTGCTTTGGAACTTCCGCTGCCCTCTATCAGACTCCTGAAGCATGGTATTTTGACATTTATACATTATAGCTTTATTTATATCATATTTGAATCCTTCCATTTACTGAATACTTTTGGATCTTACCTTTTTCTTGAAATATTAATTTTTACTCGTTATTCATCTTGAGACAAACAACAAAACAACAAAGCCTTTATCTTTATTTTTTTTGGGTTGGCTACATGAATCCTATTCTTCCATTCTGTTTTGTTGAGGGCTATATCTGGTCACACCAACGAATATTGTTTGGTTTCATTTCATATAGATCCGACTAGGTTTTATGTAGATTCTACTTAATGTAACCCTCCTTTATGCTGGATTGGGACTGACAATAAAAAGATAAACATTGAAGCACATCATTGGCAAACTTATGTCATCTTGTAGATATTGAAACCTGATTCTGAACGATTCCTATGTTTTTATTTGCCACCACTAGTACATAATAAGGTAAATGCAATCGTGCTTGGTCACTAAGCATGGCTCCTGATTGATATTTTATGTTCGATAATTAGAATGAAGGAAACTGATCCTAGATTGCTTGGTCACTAAGCATGGCTCCTGATTGATATTTTATGTTTGACAATTTAGAATGAAGAAAACTGATCCTAGATTTCTCATTGTAGATGTATTGGTAATATGAAGCTGTATAATCTAGTCTATGTTTTGTTAGTTTTGCGAATGAAGGTATCCGAGTTGTTCCAAGCTAAGATTCCTTCAATATTTTTGTCAGATTATGTGAGTTTGCTCTTCTTTCTTTTTTACCGCTCAATCAATAATGACCAAAATGGCTGCCTCATTAACTCTTATATTGAAGAAACCTTGATGGTTAAAAAATATTACACCTTTGTTATACTCTTGTCAGGGTCATTGCATTGTACTTGACAGGAGTGGTTTGATCTCTCTGTCTGTACTCTCGCATTAGTTTCTATTTTTCTTTGGTAAGGTTTTTCTATCTTCCAAGTCTTCACCAAATGAAGCACTTGCTATTTGCTAATCTTTGTGTTCCAGGCAAGAAACAAGTATGATTTAAGCCCATAACACTTGCTTTAAGGTTTATATACTCTGATTCTTGATAAAATCCCATTTGCCACTTGCTGCAAAATGTTGGATGCAAACAAACAACTGCGTGCATTATGAAAAAAATACCACATTTATCTTTGCTTTGCTTACTTCCTATTATTAGTAAGCACAGTCGATTGAAGAAGCATTTTTTTTCCCGCCCTTCCAATCAATTTTCTATTTTTAATTTTCAGGGCTCCACAAGCAGCAAGGATGATACTTAATCTCTCCGCTGAAGATAATGCTGCTTCGCTCACTGTTTGATTTAAAGAAATTAATTAAGAGTCTATAACTTGTACATCGGTGACTTTTGGTGTTTGGCATTGTGATGATAGGAATTAAGATAGATTCTATCCATAGCAGCAAGCATTTCTCCTTTTTAAAAGAAGTGCCTGGTGAATTTCACAGTGTATTTGGCTCGAACAATAGAAATCTCTTGTGGTGGGCATTTTTAACATCTTTGTGTACAACTGGCAGCTTTCTTTTCAATGAATTTCATAGTGAATTTAGCTAAACGCTTCGCTTGTGATTTTGGTAAATAGTTAATGATGAAGTCAACAACAATAATGTGATTTAATTATTTTGGCATCCAAAAATATTGGATTAAATATGAGACGAATGAGATGTTTTCTTTTATCAGACATTGATTTTAGATATACTCCACAAGAAATGGATTTACAGGAAGTGTTTGATAACGTTGCAGGTGGTCTGTAGCAAACATGGCTCTGCCTAAATGTAGATGTCTCTAATATCCTCCAAATATTAAATCAACAAAACTTTAGCCTTAAATGACTGTCAAACTTACCATTTATTTGAATACTAAGCACCCCCAACATTCATATGGAGGCAATTTATTCATAACTTTATTCACATCTCATAAATTTCACGCTATTCTCAACGCGCTCCTGAGAATCCATGCGCACCTTTAATTCCATTGGAAAGCAGCCCAAATTAAAACATCAAAAACAGACTTCAAATATGACCATCAAAATTCTTTCAGATCTCTATGCATGTACAACATCAACTACGCTTGAGTTCATCCAATTTATTCATAACTTCCTTCACATCTCATAAACTTCACACCATTCTCAATGCACTCCTGAGAATCCATGCACACCTTTATTTCCATTGGAAAACAACCCAAAATTAAACATCAAAAACTGACTTCATGATATGACCATCCAAATTCCTTCAAATCTCTATATATATGTACAACCTCAACTTCGCTTGAGCTCATCCAAAGAGCTCTTTTGATTAACTTACTGCTCCTACAGAGAGCTATGGAGCAAGTTGATGATTTCTACTTCTCAGCACTCGCCGACTCTGATCAGGACTTGTTCCCAATCTCTGATGAAAAGTATGCAGACGAGCTCCAGCTTCAAGAGGTCCTCATATCCTCCGCCATCGCCGCCTTCAATCGCTACGGCCCCACCTTCAAGAAGATCAAGACCGAGCCGGTTACAATGCAACCAACAAGAATCAAGACTGAGCCAGGTGAATCGTCCAGTACCATCAAATCTGAATCATTCTGCAAAATTTGCATGGAACACCCTCCAACGTCCTCGATGTTCTTCAGCGTCAACTGCTCCCACTCGTTCTGCCGCAACTGCGTAACCCGGTACCTTGCCGCCAAGATCAACGACAACGTGTCGGCTATAAAATGCCCCGAAGATAACTGCAACGGACTTCTTGAACCTGAGCAGTGTCAGGGGATCGTGCCCAGAGAAGTTTTCGAGAGGTGGGGGAGCGCAATATGCGAGGCTACGATTCTCGGCTCGAACAAATTCAGTTACTGTCCTTTCAAGGATTGCTCCGCACTGCTGACGTTGGGCGAAGGAGAGGGGAGTTTGGGTCAGTCCGAGTGTCCGAGTTGCTGTAGGCTGTTCTGCATGAAGTGTAGCGTTGCTTGGCATAATGGATTAAGTTGTGAGGAGTATGAGGAGTTGGGGGTTGATGAGAGAGGTGGTGAGGATCTGAAGCTGATTGAGATTGCGAAGAACAAGAAGTGGATGAGGTGTCCACAGTGCAAGTTTTATGTGGAGAAGACTCAGGGGTGTCTTCATGTTACCTGCAGGTTTGAGTCTCTAACTTCATGAATTGCCCTGTATAATTCTTATATGGTGTGTTTGGGAGTTTACTTAGGGAAGGGAAGGAAGGGGATAGAAGGGGAATTTTTCCCCTTCCTTCCCTTCCCCTCCATTACACCCCAATTTGGGGTGTAAGAATTTGGGCCAAATTTCCCCTCCATTCCCCTCCTCTACCCTCCAAAATAAAACTCCCCCAAATTTCCCCTCCATTCCCCTCCTCTACCCTCCAAAATAAAACTCCCAAACAAGATTAAAATAAAATTGCCCTTCCCTTCCCCCTCTCTACCGTCCATCCAAACAGGCCTAGATAAAATTTCACCACACACCCAAAAAAAGTTGCCCATTCTTATGTACCCCAAAAAAACTTGTGTCGCTCAACTCCCGAAGGTTTTGCATTTTCCTGAACTACAATCTGGAAAGAAAAAAAAAAGTTTTAGTTGTTACGTGATCTTTCCAAACTTTTTGGGGTTTATCTCAATCTGGGCCAATTTTCTTGGGGTTTTTTTTTTCAAACATACCCTTAGATTAATGCTATATTAGGAATGAATCATGGTTGTCTAAATATTATTTGGTGTTTGTGGTTGAACAAATAGTTTGAAATATTATTTGTTGCGGTTACAACTTTTAGTGCATGTTTATTGTTTCAGGTGCAGATTCGAGTTCTGTTATGGATGTGGTAAGAATTGGGCTGACAACACTCATGTATTCTGTGGCAGTAATTGAACTTATGTGATGTGATGAAGGGAGAAAAGTTTAACGTCGTGATCTCATGAGTTCAATCAGGGAGCTTTCTTTGTTGGTTGGAATTTTCATTTTGAAATTGCGGTAGTGTTTTGTTTAAAACCAAATGATTATTGTCAGTTTTTAGTATATTATGAATGAACTGCAAACGTTTAGAAGGAAGCCCTTTCTGTGATCAAAACTACAATGGAAAGAATCTGTATCCATTAATTGGTTACTCCTCTCACTTGATCTCACGAAAAAATTTCATGGAATCATAACATATAAAGTTAAGCTAATATAAATGAACAAGCTAAGATCAACTCATTCTATGATGGTGACGATTCGAGTCACAATATCTCATCAATTCTTAAAAAAAGAAGGAAAAAGAACTTAGAAAAGCAAATTCAAATTATTAGCAAACATATCGGGTTACCAAGCCAACAAACCTAGTTAGGAAAAACATCACCAATACTTAAGATCATCATACACAACATACCAGCAAACACCCCATCCTCAAAATACAACAAAACAACATAAACACACACGAGACAAATAAAAATACATTAAAACCCCTAGAAAAGTAATAGCTTCAAAGATTCAAAGACCAAAACTAAGGCATGAACTCAAAAAACATGTGTTAAAAGTAAAGAACTAAACAAGTCGTTGAGAGATGGGTATGATGCATATTTCAGGCCACAGCAACGCCAGCGAGGCGTGGTCTCCTCTCGGAGCCATTACCCTCAGCCACCAAGTCCAGGGAAATTTTCCTCTTTAATCCTGCTTTTGCTGTTAAAATTGTGGGCTTTGCATAGTTCCTCAATCTCTGAACATCTTTTGATTTAAGGGGCTTTACAATAAAATCCTCAGCTCCAATGGCTCTACATCTGAAAATCAAGAAAGTTTCTGCATTAGGAGAAGACTTTCAGGTGTGACATTTTGATAGCACCGTGTTCGGGAGAATCGTATGAACTTTAGCTTGATTTTGAGTTATTTGTCACCTTATGTTAGTTTCCCATCATCCGTGACCATCTAGAGATCAAATGCTTTGTCTTTTGCATACCCACTGATGTTTGTGTGAATTGATGGATCACTTTGTTTTAGAAAAAAGGGGCTTTTGTGCATATACCCCTCCCGCATATTTGCAAAATTACCTTTCCAAATCTAAATATTTGCAAAGCTACCCGGGAATCATCAACTTTCTAACGAATACATCCAAATCAACAAATCATCAACTACGTTGAATATGATGAGTTAAAATCTGACTATTTTGTTCATATTTCAACGATGAAGTGACAAATTATCCTATCAAAGTTGATGATTTATCGATTTGGTTTTATATCCAAAGTTGTGATCTGGAGGTAGTTTTGCGAATACAGAGTTTTGAGGGTGGCGTTACAAAGTAATCCAGGTGTAGAAGAAGTTTTGGACCAATACTTACCTCAAAGTCTCCTAGTTTGCACTGATCACAGCTAACTATGTATGGGATGACTAAATAATTTCTTCTTGTGAGATGCTAAACGTGTTAAAAAGGAGTGAACTGTAGAGAAAATACTCGTCCTTATAAAGGTAGTTGATTGCCAGTGCCCGTGTTTTTGGGCTAATGCAAATATCCTACCCCCTAGGACCCTAATTTAGCCTAGGTTCCGAATTTCTGTACTTCACATTGTTGGATTCAGATTAGAATTAATGAAAACTTGTTGAGGTGAATCAGCAAAAAAAAAATGTGGGCATTTGAATAGCTATGTGATAGTTGGCGAAAGCACTCAGTAGTAAATTCTAACATTTGTTTGTAAAAGAAGGGCATTTCAGATAAAAACCTGGTAATTCTCTGTGGTTCATCTTCAGATGACATAACAACTACAGGTATAGATTTGGGGTAGTTGTGCTCCTGAAAATTTCAAATGATGAAGATAAATGAAAATTCTTTCACTTTTACGATAAACAAAATGTAGGTACTTTTCATACCTTAACAGCCTTCAGGAGATCATAACCAGTCATCTCTGGCATACAATAGTCAGTAAGGATTATGTCGATGTTCTGATCCTGCGGGGTATCAAATTTTCATTTCAGCGCGTTGGATATGATTTTAACAAATGACACTTTCGTATAAAACACACATTAAGAGTCTGTGTGATTGTTTCGGCAGCTCTTTCGATAATTTTACGAACGGTCATTTTGAAAAGAACTATTATGATTCCTAATAAACAATATCATTGGACATCTTGTAGAATTACGAGTATGACATAATGATAAGACTTACATTAGAAGCAGGGGATTCGGCTTTTCCTTCTTTTTCTAACCCCAGAACTTCCATTGCTTTCTTTCCACTCTCAACGGTGATAACTAGGGGAAAATAAAAATGAAAACAATATTTAGAGACAAAAGTATTGCAGCATATAAAGGCAATTGCGTACTAGCAGATGGAACATTAAGAATAATTAACAGTTTTATTTTAAGTGGATTAAAAAACTAAAGGTCCTTAATTTGTCTATCTATATTGGAATTCATCTATCCGAGAACTACTCAAAAAAAAAAAAAAAACCAAAATCAAATTTTACTGTTCACGAAGAGGAAAATTTTGCCATGCTTTAATGTAGAAGGCTATAGTTTAATCTAATGCACAGCACAACAAATGCAATAGGGGAACCATAGAGGAAAAATTATCAAATTTCCAAATCTCTCTGCTACAAGAAAATACTACGCTTATTATGCAAAATCCAGGTGCCAATATTAACATATCAATCAAGTTTAAAACAAGCACCTACAAATTCCTCTCCACTCTGCTGAGCAGTTTTCAGGGGGAAATCCACCAAAGATGAGAAGCATGAAATTATGTACTGAGTTTATCTCTGAATTTATTTAATGCAATACATGGGCAAAAACAGAGAAATTAATCAACATACTGCTTTTTATCCATCCCAAAGAAAACCATAGTAATTCATATGAAACTAAACTGAAAAGGGAACTTCACATCCTTTAGTTACGCATATATGCCAATAACTTTATTGGAACCTTTTGACAGCACTAGCCAATTCACACAAATGAGCAAAATAAAGTCAAATGTGGTCCTCGTCAAGAGAACAAATAAGCTTTGTTTGAGGGAAAGATTACACTTGAACACAACAAATTACCTTTGATATAACAAAAACCCATGTACCAAAATTAACATAGAAATCAAATTAAAGACAATACCTTCAAACAATTCTCCACTCTTCTTGAGTAATCTCTCAACTATGCTTCTATCTATAGGAGAATCATCCACCACCAACACTTTAAGCAAACACTTGACATTACTATCACTCTCCTCCTTCTCTTCCTCCTTCATCCCCTCCATTGTTTTTTCTTCTTCAAGTGTGCAAGTGTTGGGAGAGAGAGGAAATGGCAATGGTGGTGGAATTTTTTTAGTAAGTGTTTTTAGAGAGAGAGAGAGAGAGAGAGAGAGAGGGAGGAGGGGGACCAAAGATGGTGGAGCCCAATGGAGGAAGATTATGAAGAACGAAATACTTTTCAGTAGATTTGGTTGTCGGAGGGAATCTTTTCTCTACTTGGGGATCCGAGTCATTTGACCTTATCACTCCTCGTTAACTATGGCGCTTCCCTTCCTTTTTTTTTTGAGGGTATTGTTTCTAGCCCCCAATTTCGTTACAAGTGTTTCACCCCTTCACAAAAGACTTTTTTAATGTTCCCAAAATCTTCAAAAATAAATGGGCATTGCTACAGGGACCCCTAAATAAGGGGACCCCAATGGGACAGGTGAGGTGTCAGCACCTGGGGGTGCGATTTACTGTTCATGAACAGTAAATCGCACCCCCAGGTGCTGACACCTCACCTGTCCCATTTGGGTCCCCTTATTTAGGGTCCCTGGGGCATTTTTCAAAATAAATATATAATTCTCTAAGCTTCCAAAACACAAAATCCAAGAGTTTAAAATATGTGAAGAATGTAATATCATTTCTCTTTCTCTCTCTGTTTCATGATGTTACTGTTATGATTTAAAATGAGTTTTTTTTTTTTTTTTGGGGGGGGGGGG